TGGATGTTAGTATTGCTGAATGAAAGGTTGATTTGAACCCTCTAGTGGGCTATTTGAAGTTGTTTTTGAATTCTATAGATGGACTTGGAGAGTGAAAACCCCTTTTGTCTCAAGGATGCTGGTTTTGTTTTGAGTTGTGTTCTGTAAGTAGTCGAGTTTTAAGTTTTATTTTCTTTGTCTTTTCTTATGTTGTTGCGTCAGTTAAGTCTTTTCATTTGAGTCGCTCTCATGTACCCTCAAGTCTTCATCTTTATAAGAAAGTGGGAGTCAAGTTTTTGATCATTTTGTTGTGCCTATAGGAAGGCATGGGTGACCTTTTAAAAATAGAAAAAGCTTTGAATTTACTTTTTGAATGAGATTCTATTAATAAGCGCAAGTGTTGAAAAGGATCCTCTAAATTGTTTGAGTGAATTCTGACTTATCGATGCAAAGTCCTTCATAATTTCAAAATTTTGAGTTGTTTCTTTTGCAAACTTGCGAAGATAGATTCAGAATTTTGTGTGGTATTCTACACTATCCTGGGTATTCTCTTCACTATTGGGTGATTATTTTGGCAAGCACAAGGTGGCTTTCAAACCCGCAAGTAGAAGGCGGCTTTCCGACCTCATACTTATAGAATTTCTCCCCCGGGTATTTTCATTACTTCAAAAAAAAAAGAAGAAACTAATAGACAAAAAGGAAAAAGAGAAAAGAAGAAGAAAAAACAAAAAAAAACAAAAAGAAAAAGAAAAAAAAGAAAAGAAAAGGGAAAAAAAGTCAACCATCAAGCCAGGGGTATTCATTGGAATGAAGTCCAATCAATTGTGAAGAAGGGAACTGTTGTCTGAATCTGGAGAAGCTAATGCAAAGAAGTACCACATTGCAAGAAGAACTAACTCTGAAAATGAAGAAAAAGAAAGAAAGAAGGCATGCGTAAAATAATGGAGAACCAAACTTAAATCAAGGCAAAGCCAGATCCAGTGTCAGGGCAAGGATGACTATTGATTAACCTCACTGCAAATGTTGTAACGCTATCCTTGAGAGGCTTGCTAGGTCGAAAACCTGAAAGGGCGACCTAGGTAAAAGTTAGAACATAAAAAATGAGAAATCAAACAAATATAGCTCGCAAGGTTGAAGCCTCTAAGGGGCGACTTTGGCAAAAGTTAGAGCGTAAAAGAAGAGTGTCAATACCCGAGTGAACCTCAGCCATGAACTGCGTTGACCTGATTCCCATTCTTGGGATACGTAGGCAACTTCATCCTGAAGTTCGGTCTCAACCCTATCCATCTTATCTATTTCGACTCAATCGTTTTGCGCGACTCAATCGTTTTGCGCAACTCACATCGTTAGCTTCGCATCAAGCCATAAGCTACACCGACTGTTGCGCATAACATACTTGTGTTGGGTAAGAAGAACTAGCTTGAATCAACAAGCGGATCAATTTTCAACACTTAAACTTATTAGTAAAATCTCTATCTTGAGCAAAAAAACGGAATCAAAACTCGGGTTTTGTGAAATTAAGTTCTAAAGGGAACATAAGTAATACTAGAGGCACTATGAATGATCAGTTACCTTGAGTCTTTTTATGTTTTTGGGTCAGTTGTGAGTTCTATTGTGTCGTGCCTGGTGTTTGTATCAGTCTGCGATCTTCATCGAGTCACCTTAACATGTCTATTGCTCAAAAGTGCTCTTCATTGAGTTACCATAGCATGTCTGTCGCTCAAGTCTAACAGAGTGGCATGGTCAAAATTTCATACACGAATGTTTGCTCCAAACTCAAAAACAAGTCCATGTGTGGAATTTATAAACAAACTGAGAGTGCCCATACAAGGGGCATCGCATTCATGATCATTGCAAAGTGTATGTAAGGAATCCGTCACTACTTTAGGGGAAAATGGAGTAGATTCTCAACATGTTGGGACAGAAGAGAAGCATCAGTCTGATTGGTTGGCAACCGTTCTAGGATCTGATGATCCCCATCACACGTGCCTGCATAATGTTAGAAAGGTGGCCAGTGATTGAACACTAGGAGCACTTTTCAGTACATCTGACCGTGCCATCCATCGAACAAGGGGCATGAACCCAAATAGCGACTAGTGACTAGACACTAGAGGAAATTTTCGATGCATCTGATAGGGTCATCAATTGAACAAGGGGCATGAATCGAACCTTTCTCTTAGTCCACTCAAGCCATTTGTTGGGCACTTTCCCCTGGATTTGGGTGAGCTCACCTCCATGATGATTCTGATATGATTCTGCTTTCGAAAGTTATCTTCGACCTTTTCAAAACTCTTTTGGGATTGCCATTTTCCCCTCTGATTAATACATGTGCCTTAGATTATGCATACATGCTCATACATTCTGGGTTATTTGAATTGCATGATTGGTTGCTCCTGTTTCATCGAGTTAGCTTCCGCAGTGTTTTTCAATTACATTTCAATAAGTTATGGTAAGATGCCCTACACTCATTTCATAAGGTACATGATGCACTACTCTATGTACAGCTCATTTCCCTCTGTATACCATACGTATCCACCTTGTCTCGCACTGTTTGTGCACTTGCATCGCACTGTGCATTTACCTTGTATTGCACTATTTTGTGCACTTGCATCGCATTGTTTTGTGCCACAAATACAAACACATATAAATATCACACTTTTTTTGTGTGATGTATGTTTTTTAATCTCACCTTTTAAGTTTTATAAAAGTGTGGTCTTTGGGAGTATGATTAAAAGGGGTCATTTTTAATCACACTTTTTAAGTGTCATTAAGAAATGCTTTCATCATATCTTTAAAGTGTGATTAAAAATATTTAGATCACATCTTTTAAATGTGATTAAAAATATTTAGATCACAGTTTTCAAGTGTGATTAAAAACATTTAGATCACACCTTTTAAGTGTGGTTAAAAATATTTAGATCACATTTTTAAGTGTAATTAAAAATATTTAGATCACAATTTTTAAGTGTGATTAAAAACATTTAGATCACATCTTTTAAGTGTGATTAATAACATTTAGATCACATCTTTTAAGTGTGATTAATAATTAATAAAACCTATAATAAAAAAAAAATTGACATATTTGAAGAATAATCAATATTATTTTTATACGCGCATTTCAAGAATGTAATACATACTATATACTATACTTTGAATCATAACCACATATTGAATAAAATAACGTCATATATTTCATAAATGAAAATTAAATATGTTCAAAAGTATATACAAAGGAATTAAATAAAAAGTTTTAAACCATGCTTACATATATTAAAAAATGAAAAAACTTAAAAAACTAAGTTCTTGAATTCTTTGACCATATTTTGCATCTCTCCAAGAATTTCTAACCTGAAAAATAAAAACAAAAATTAATTCAGAAACCGCTAGAAGCATATAAATAAACTTACTATTTTTGTAGAGATTGTTCTTGTCTTATAAAAGACAAAATCAGACACTTTCTCAACACACTGACTCTTCATCCCCTGCATCAATAGAAAAGGAATAACGACTTTGATTGTTACTAGTATAAAATGTTTGTGTTACCATATATAAATATGACATATACATAGAATCAATAAATTCAAAATGAAAATCTTCAATGTATGGCCAGATATTTTAAAGTCATAAAACCAAATATATATAGAATCAACAAATTTATTGAAAATCTTCTGTGAGACATCATTCTATTCATTTGATTCTGCGTATCAAAAACAACAATAAACGAGAATTACAAGAAAAGTGGTCGCAGTGATTCTATACTCATGCTTGCTTCCATGTGAAATGACTTTGAACATAAAAGGTGAAACAAAAAAACAAGCCAGAATATACTCCTACCAGCACTACACCTCAACCAGCCACAAAACACACTACACAAAAGACAAGGCCAAACATGCACACTACTGATCATCAACCTAATAAAGAGCTCTGGCCCTACTCACTCTCACTCCCACTCTCAGTATTCCTGAGCCACAAAAATACACGACTTCCCACTCATTAATTATTTTTTGTTTTAATCAAAGGTGTTGGAAAGTTGTTTTGTTATACCAACAAAACACAATTCAACAAATGAAAAACAAAAAAAACAAGAGAGAAACATACTATGTTAAGAAACATCACACCAAGAATGACAGCATTAGCAAAACCAAAACTCAAAACGTGTATGAAAGAGCATGTGCATCGACATTGTGTTATGAAACATTTATAACTCGTGTGTTTAGTTATTTGTTATTTATTTATTTTATTTATTTTTATCACTTTGTGTGTTATCTAAAACTAATTGCAAAGTCCAAAGGCATGTTTTCGGTAGCCGTCCTTAATTTGTCCAAACGAGTCTCGTGCACACAACATGTTAATGAAATGCTTCAACAGTTTTCTTATCTTCCCTAAATTGTAATGCTAGTCCATTATCTTCCACTTAACTTCCAAAAAGTTGATTACAAATAGCACATATATACATACATATATATACACACTATTTGTAATTTACGAATAAAAAATATGAAATAAGGGTTGTTGAGTTTTAAAATATTGAATCAATTTAATTTTCTCACATTGCAATTTTCAAACTTATCAATTATTGTGGGCATTTTGGAAAAATGCAAAAAGTGTGACAAATAATTCACACTAAACAACTTGTATACTTTATATAGGACAAGTGGTGTGAGTGGTGTTCTGAATTTTTGAATAGTTTGATGATTGAGTAAATTGATTAGTCATTTATAGTTTGATGAAGGTACAAAATTATTGTAATAGTTATTGGATATGATAGGTACATGATGAAAAATTGGTGGTAATTACTGAGTAAGATTTAGAGAAGAAAGAAACATCTCAAACTGTTTGAATTTAGTGGCAAGGATGTAAATGATAGTGTAACAAAATTATGGAAGTTCTTGAAATTTTAATAAACGCAAGATGGGAAATGCAAGGTATGAAAACTCTGCTGTACTTACTCTCTCGATAGTAAGAAAATGCACGGTCTAGAAAGATGATATTGGTAGCGCTGAAAAGGTAAAATAGAAAAACTATGTTAGGGCCCGAACATATATGATAGACAAAATCATATGACTAAGTAGTTCCTGCCATTCATCCACGTTCCCATCATAATGGACTAACATAATTGTAAAATTCTCTAAAAGAAACTGAATTCACTAAAATTAGGCAAATAATGTCAACAAAATGACAAGTCTTAAGTTAACAACTGATATAGATTTTAAACGCCAACCATTAATAAACAGTTATAGAGTTATACCTTTTGAACAATGTCATCAACATTACTTTTTTGTTTAATACCAACTGGAATTGCCAGGAAGATATGAAAGCTTGAAACATTAACCTGAAAAGTAAAGAAAAGATGCACGATGGCAACAAGTATGAAGTACTGATCTTCTACATAACTAACACCACTTTAAAAAGTTACTGTTTATAGATTTAAAAAATAATAATAATAACCCTCGTTGTGAATTAAAGTTTGTGACTTGAAGACAAAATACATGATTCTAAGGAAGTTTGTGTATTGATTCCAAAGTATACCAAGATCAAAACCTAACCTTTGACTTTGAACTACTTTTTGACCATAGAGGTTTTAACTCCAAATCTAACCTGGCTTGAATGATGCCACTAGCTAAACTATCCAAAGTAGTAGACGCCACACCAGTATCCTAGATGAAAGGATCAATAGCAACTTAGAATAATGGTAAATATAAGGAACAACATTGACCTAACCCATTGCGTGCATAAAACAACTAAAGAAATCCCAAAAACTTGTAAAATCAAGTATCAGATCTAATCAAAAGCAATGGGTGAAGTCATTAAGTGCATGTCTTAGGTAGACAAATACAAGAATAAAAATAGAGTGATTAAACTAATAATAATAATCAAAACATAACTCAAATTATTATCTTCCATGGGTAGAAAGGAGTCAACCTTTTGTCTATCTGATGATGAAAAGGAGAAGAAAAAAAATTAGCGGAAGTGAAGTACAAAAAAACAAAAGAAAAGGCCCAACTTCAAAAGTACTCCAATGGGGTGAATATGTATTCATATAAGATCAAGTAACATGAAAATCAAACCAATATGTATTCATATAAGTATGCAGATCCAATGGAGCGAATGATCATAAGCCAATCACAATCCTAAGGTTCAATCTGACATCGCAATGAGTTGAAGTAATGTAAACGATCACCGTAAGGGTAGCACAGACTAAATGTTATGCACATACCTTGGGACTGGATTTCAGATTTGGAGAGTATAGATTAAGAAAAATGTATGGATATTGTAAATATATAAGCCTTTGGGGCCCTTCTTTTTCTCCTCTATTCTGAAATGTTCATATAGCATGTAGTAAGGTTTAAATCAACTGAGTATTCAACTTTTTAAAAGTCTTGTATAGGGAAAGGACTGAGTTTTAGATGTATACATAAGGAAAGCCGTGTGCAACAAAAAATACAATCATATGTTAATTGGAAAAAAAAATTTGTGGGTAATTAAAACATAATTGATTTGATTAAAAATGTAAAGTCATGATTCACATCACCAACTTTACCTTTTCCATATGTTGGATGAGAAGAGAAATTGCTTTCTTAGTGTCCACTGTTTGTTTTTGTTGGAACAAATATTATCACTGCTGCTGCTGCAAGGCTTGAACTTCAAGAAGTCAATCTCTGCATTGAATTCCCACCCATTATCATTAGTCAAGCTTGAAATGATTGTATATTCTTTATAAAAGGTACAACTTTTTGATACACTCTCCTTCTAGATACATATATTTGATATTTTCATATAGGATTCCATTGGTTCCAAACTACAAAAAAAAAAGAAGAAGAGAAAGAAGAAGAAGAAGCATTTTAAAAGAGTGAAGTTCTGGTTTCAATATTATTGTTACAGCCGCTTTTAACTATGAAAAATGTGTCATATTTAAATGATTAAAGTATCATCACTCATTCTATATCTCATTATTTGTTGTTGAGAAATGTTTTAGAGAGACAAAGCCTATTTAAATGATTAAAGCCCAAGTAGTTTGTACCATTGAATGAATTTTGACAATAACTGGATAGAAAGAGTTCCACATATAATTTTCAAAATAATATTACATACATTCTAAGGAGTGAAGATAACTAAATCAATCGACATTGTCGAGTAAGTATGTTTTACATATTTAAGTAATGCACTAGTATGACCAATTCTGAAAATGTTATTGAATTGGATTTTATATAAAGACATTCCCAAATATTAATATTTTTGCATATTTTCATGTAAGTGAAAATATATACTATTAATAATTGAACGCTCTAGCCACAAATTTGAGAATGATAGTTTCTATTAATTATTGCAAATGTTCCCCATAAATGGTAATAACAGTGTAAGTATCATTGTAAGTAGAAAGGATGTTGGATAGGTCAAAAGATAAAATAAGCTTGATAAGCAGAAAGAATTATAATTTGGAGATTCAAGAAAACCATTTAAAAAAAACAATTTCTTTTCAGCATGTATTTGGAAAGGGAACATAAAATAATAAAGAAGGTTACACATCAAACCTAAGCATTAATAATATTTTTTAAAATCAAAAAATTTCACAATGTATTTTTCTCTACCCTCTTTGGAAGGGGTGTTAAAGTTATAGTTAGCATCTATAGTAATCTAATTAATATAAAGGAAAAGGTGAAAAACATAATTGAAAAATATGAATATAAAGGAAAGGGTTGTTTGGTTGCTTGAAAAGGTTGGACTAGAGAATAAAGTAAGATTTAAAGGTTAGATCTTTTATTATCTAGAACTTAATGAAACAGAGAAATTTTTAAAAACTATAGAAATTGTTCAACTAAATATAGAAAATGTCCACTCTACTGACAAGTCAGATGTTAGATTTTAAACTAAACAACTACTTGGCTTACATGGTGCTCTTTTAATTGGCAATCCCAGCAATAAATTATGTTCCAAAGTTTCTGTTGTCTGTCGCGGTTTCACATTATTCCATTTTTCTTCCCAACATACTATACAGCTAAGTAATAGTCGAAATTATAAATGGTCTTCCATTTGATGTGTTAAATACTTACCATTAGCTTTAAGAATGTGGAGGTATTGAAATTGAAGAGAATTGGGACAAGGTAAGTTAATAAAAAATCTTTTTACTGTATTGACAGATTACTATTTTAGTCTGTCTGACCCCATTGTTTGATTTGACCCATTTTGTGTCATTAAGTAGTTAGCATACTTCACAAGCAGTCCCATCTCATGGTTTCAAAGTAATTTTAATAATTTTAGACACTCGGCTTGTCACGCCCTCAAAATAATACATAAAACCCATCATTCTTGACATGCAACAATATAAGAGAAATAAACATCTTTCTATTTATCAGAGTAGTTCTTACAAAAGTATTACATGTTGACAATAAAAGTAAACGCCCTATGGGCTTACAACTTTCCAAGCCAACATTTGGTTACAAGAAAGGAGTACTAACTCATATACATATTAAGCCCTTGGCTTGGATTCACAAGTAATACATCGAAGGAAAACAAAACAACCAAAAAGTATGTCTGCCTCTAGCCTCCCAAGCTATGTCCTTGAAGGTGGCATGCTACCTGTACCTGAAAATGGTGTCCCATATAGGGTGAGCCACAGCCCAGTAGAAATATACTAAACCAAATATAAACAATGACTAAAATAATAGCATTCGATAGATGGTCCACACTTATATTCCCACTTATAACACATTACAGTTTCATGACATTCAGATCCATGTTACATTTCATTTCCCACTTCTTTTTCAACCTTGAGTTTGAAAACAAGGCTCAGAGCCCAGCTAAATAACTTAATGAGATTATGACTCATCATTAAAACACTTTTGAAATTCATGATGGATACACATTTTGGTGCTGTATCAATAACATATAAACCACTTCCATACTTCACGAAGAATACACGTTTTGGTGCTGTATCAATATAACATAGAAATACTTCTATACTTCACAATTGATAACGATATACATTTTAGTGCTATATCAAATCAATTCAAACACTTCCTTAATCCACACTTGATACACATTGTAGTGCTGTATCAATGTCAAACAAAATCCAGTTTAGAGGTCCATCCCCTATCTTCCCCTAAACCGTGGAGTACATCCCCTATCTCCTCCCACGCACAATGTATATAAATGTAGGTCATATACATATTAATCAATACACAAAGTTAATGTATTATTCCAACCGCTATATTCGATAGCATACTCAATCAATTAGTTTTAGTTTACCTAATCATCATGCATTGTCTACAACAATCAAGACTATCCTCCACCGATAGCCCAAAGCAGTTATTTCTAAACAGAAAATAAATGCACCAAATGGATAAAATATCAACATTTCAACTAGGTGAGTGATAAATGATCCAACTACACCCTTTAATCCCATACATTCTCAATTTCAACATCCTCAATTCAATTTCTCATTTCTCAAAATTTATTTTTTACAAATTAATTTATCAATGTAATTAGGGTATTTCCATAATTATCAAAACAACCCTAAGGTTCCATTTCTATCAATAACCCACCATTCACCTCAATTCTCCATGCTAAACATGCATATAGGTTTATATAAGTAAAATCCCTTCTTTTGTAAAATTACCTAAAGGCCCAAACTTTCTCAAAATTACCCAACAACCCCCAACATATCAAAATGCTAAAATTTAAAGACAAAGCTCATAAAGAGGAGTAGGATATCCCTACCTCGAAGTTAGAGCTCAAATGGGGAAGTTGAAGAAAACCAAAATGCTCCAAACTCCAAGATCCACGGATCAAAACGAAGCCCTCGACGATCCACACACTTTTTACAAAGGCCGAAGGGAAGGGGAACACTCTAACTAGATCAAACCCTAAAGAGAAGGGAGATCCTAGAGAGAGGCTCTCAAAAATGATTTTGGGAAAGTAAGAGAGAGAAAGGAAATGTAAAAAGTGATTTAAAATTACCCAGCGGATGACTCATATACGTATGACCTGTCCGAGCGGAAAATAGAACGCTCGAGCGTCAAGCACAAAAATCTGGACCCGCTCAAGCGCAAGAAGGCCCGCTCTAGCTCCAAGAAACAAAAGCAAAACACATCTGCTCGAGCGCAAAGAACAAGTCTGCTCGAGCGTAGATTTTCATCTCCCATAACTTTTCAGAAAAAGAACTACCCGCTCGAGCGCCAACAAGCCCGCTCAAGCGCGACCCGCTCAAGCGCAAGAAACCTGCTCGAGCGTAGAAAACACACCTGCAGAAGTTTTGCAGGGGCACGAAATACTGGAAGGGTGTAAACCACGCTCGAGGGCAAGAAGGCCCGCTCGAGCGAACAACCCAAAAACCAAACTCCGCTCGAGCGCAGAATGATCCGCTTGAGCGTAACACCAAAAACCTGGGCAACTACACTTGAGACCAAAACTCAACCTACCTGTTCAGAACACACCTAACACATCCTATAACTCAAATATAAGTTATGAAAGGATGTAAACAAGATATAAACAACTGCTAACATCCACGGAACCAAGTCTGGATCACTGTACAACAAGGGGATAAAACCCGGAATCGCTATACGGCTGCTGTTATAGCATGCACACACATACACACCCCAACTTGTTGCCATGTAGTGTAGATTTTAAGATCCACCCAGCCTGTGTGTCCTTGCCTAGTTGTTTCATGTCCAAAGTTCATGTCTACGTTTCATAAGTCATCACTGATTGGATATAAATTTGGGTTTGGAGCAGAAAACATGTTTATTCAATTTGTCCTTCTTACAGGTAAAAACTATCTCTCTTTTAACTGAAAAACCTATGACATTGGAGGCATGTGCGCTTGAGAAACCTATGACATTGAAAATTGATGAAGAATAATGAATAAGCCTTGTTTTATGCACTCTAGTTTTACAATGCTATACTAGCAAGTCATACTACTGCTAATAGATTTTCAGTGTCAATTCATATTTTTTGCCTAATTGTTGTTCAGAAGATCAAATTAAACCAAGCAAACCAGAGGTTATCATCAAGACCATTAGCTACAGAAAGCTCATTCATGGAGGAAGCTAATTTCAAAGTGCAAAGGAAAGGAAAGAGATAATTCAAAGGTACAAAGCAAACCGAACCCAGATAAATCTAAATCGACCTAGTTACACCTAGTTGCACACCAATATATATATATATATATATATAATATCATATACACTAGCAAAAACAGATTATAATAATCAACAAGGTTCAACAAGCCTCAGTCGGCACCAAGCTTCATGACATAAACAAATGATAAGGGGGTTTGACAAGGGGAATAAGAGGGAATGCTCAATTTGAATTTGTGTACCTTAAGAATCCCCAGTTGGCGGGACATACAGAGAGAGAGAGAGAGAGATACTTGGGGTAATGGATCGGCGGTGTTGCGACGGTGGTGCTCTTGTGCGCCGACGGCGATGCTTGTTACCCAACGGCAATGGAGACGAACCGACAAAGCTTGAACTGACGACGAGAGTGGAGAAGACGAAGTAGACAACTGGTGAAGATAGGTGAAGAGAATAGGAGAAGAGAGAGAGGGCGGTGAGTGAGGAGGTGGAAGCGGCGCCATCATGAAGGCGGCGGCAGTGGTGGTTGCCGATGGCGCCACCAGAGGCGACGATGTAGGAGGCGGAAGAGATAAAGAGTGAGGAGAGGGAGAGATAGAGTAAGAGGGAGTGTTAGTTTAGGGTTTAGACCTTGTATAATATATATGGGGTTAGGGTGATTAGGTTAGGCTAGGATTTAGATTTTGTATAAATATATATAATCACACTTATTTAAAATGTGTGATAAAAAAATATTATCTCACTAGTGTGATTAAAAAATTATTTTTATTTTTTTAATCACACTTTTAATAAAAGTGGGATATTTTTAATTCTTCTTATGGATCTTCAATCACATGTTAATTAGAAGGTGTGATTAAAAAGTATATATATAATCACACTTAATTAAAAAGTGACATAAAAAATAAATATTATCACAATTAATCAAATCAAGTGTGATTAAAATATCAATCTAATTTTTTTTATCACACTTCTAATAAAAGTGAGATATTTTCATTTGTTAAAGTGTGATCTAATCACACTCATTTAAAAACTGTGATTAAAAAGTAGTAGTGTATATATAATCACACTTTAATTAGGAGGTGTGATTAAAAAATATATAAATAATCACACTTTAATTAGAAAGTGTGATTAAAAAGTAATAGTGTATATATAATCACACTTTAATTAGAATGTGTGATTAAAAATATATATAAATAATTACACTTTAATTAGAATGTGTGATTAAAAAAATATATATAATTACACTCATTTAAAAAGTGTGATTAAAAAGTAGTAGTGTATATATAATCACACTTTAATTAGAAGGTGTGACTAAAAAATATATAAATAATCACACTTTAATTAGAATGTGTGATTAAAATATATATATATATATATATATAATCACACTTATTTAAAAAGTGTGATTAAAAAGTAATAGTATATATGTAAAAAAGTAATAGTATAATCACACTTAATTGAAAAGTGACATAAAAAATAAATATTATCACACTCAATCAAATTAAGTGTGATTAAAATATAAATCTAATTTTTTTTATCACACTTTCAATAAAAGTGAGATTTTTTTTTTGTCAAAGTGTGATCTTTAACTATTTTTGTAGTAGTGTGCATTCACTTTGTATCACACTATTTTGTGCACTTGCATTGCACTTTTTTGTGCATTCATTTTGTATTGCACTGTTTTGTGCACCTTAAGTTCGCACTGTTTTGTGCATTCATTTTGTATCGCACTGTTTTGTGCACCTTGAGTTCGCACTGTTTTGTGCATTCATTTTGTACCGCACTGTTTTGTGCACCTTGTATAGCAATGTTTTACTCACTTTGTATCGCACTATTTTGTGCATGCACTTTAGTTCACACTGTTTTGTGCACTTTTGTATCACACTGTTTTCTGCATTCACTTTACTTCGCACTGTTTTGTGCACCTTTGTATCGTACTGTTTTGTGTATTCATCTTGTGGCGCACTGTTTTGTGTACCTTGTGTCGCACTGTCTTGTGTACCCACAACACTGTTTTGTGCATTCATTCAACCCACATAGCACTGTTTTGTGCATTCACTTTGTCTCGTACTATTTTGTGTATTCACCTTGTATCGCACTATTTTGTGCACTTACATCGCATTGTTTTGTGCATTCACTTTGTATCGCACTGTTTTGTGTACTTACATCATACTATTTTGTGCATTCACTTTGTATCGCACAGTTTTGTGCACCTTGAGTTCGCACTGTTTTGTGCACTTTGTATAGCAATGTTTTATTCACTTTGTATCGCACTATTTTGTGCATTCACTTTAGTTCACACTATTTTGTGCACCTTTGTACCACACTGTTTTGCGCTTTCACTTTAGTTCGCACTTGTTTTGTGCACCTTTGTATCGCACTATTTTGTGCACCTTTGTATCGCACTATTTTATGCTCCTTAAGTTAACACTATTTTGTGCGTTTTGTATTGCACTGTTTTGTGCACCTTGAGTTCGCACTGTTTTGTGCACCTCACCTGCACTGTTTTGTGCACTCATTGGGTCTAGGAGACCTTAAATCCTCTAAAGGTGCAATTCCTTTGGTGTTTGTTGTCCTTGAACGAATTTCGGCGGTCTGGTATAGCCACCTGACTGTGTTTGTAGTGAGTTCCCAAGAGATTAACTGAGACGATGGAAACTAGAGTTCGAATGGCGATGCCTAGAATGCAAAGGTTTGGAATTTCTGAGGCTAAAGTCTAGTTTAAATACCCAGGGGTGCATCCTTGGCTTGAAATTTGTATGGCAGCCACATAGGTTGAGGTAGCTTGTATGCGCCTCAATTCTGGATACTGAACTAACCTAGCTTGTCACCCTATTGGAGAATAGGGAAAGCTGTAAACATAATCAGGGAGAAAAGTAGTACCTATGGTTTCAAAGTGCAAGATGAAGGAAAAAGCCTTAAAACCAAGAAGAAGAGGAATCTCCCCAGCAGTGTAAGGTGAGTCCTTGCCAATTACCCCTGTAAGGTACTTCCATTTCCTAGCTACTACATCTGCAGACTGCCTGAACTCTCTCCGTGCGCGAAGGCGCGAATTGTGTTTTAGCTACTACAGTTCGAACTCCTGTCACGATTCTAAATCTAATCTCATAAAGTGCAATGTAAGACTGATAAATCACCAAAGAGTCCAAATCCGACAAATCGTTTTGGAAAATCGATTTTAATCAAAAAGCGCCAAACATGGACTGCTTTGCCAGATTTTAGAGTCGCCACCTAAATATTTTGTTTTGGAAAATTTAGGAAACCCTGACTCGTGCTTAAGGCCATGTGTCCGTCATCACCAAAGTTACCTCGGCTCGGAAACTTGGGTACGAGAGGGGAAGGTCCTGAAATAAGCACCCCTGCTCGCCCGATCAAAGGATCGGCCTCTACTAACATGATATGTTATTTTTGAAAACACATGTGTTCTTATTCTTGTTATTAATCTAACTTACTATGTGATGCGCACAACACACAAGTATAGACTAGATCGCTTAAATTGGAACAAAACATCTCATGTTTGTTTTTCGAAAATGGCTTGAAGTTGCTACCCTCGAGTAGGCTAAAATGCTGATTTGCCACCCTCAAGTGGGCTTAAAACATGATTTGCCACAAACAAGTGGGCTTAAAACTCACATTTGATGAATTGTCCCAATTCAAGCAATGAAGCCTTCATCCACAGACATTCATACAGTTATAGCAGTTAAGCAAATAGCCTCATGGCAAGCATGTTATCATGGTAACATACGCATCTCATGCAGTATGATAAAGCGTAAACACTTACAGTGTACTCTGAGCCAAAGAAAGAAAACTAGTTAGAAATCAATGCATGATCCTAGCTATGTTAAGATGCCTAATGCAACGCATGCAAAATGCAGCTAAATAGGCTCGGCTATTCTAAGATGGCATATGAATGCAACACTCGATAACATGCTTTGAAACATGTATTCAAGTAAGTATTAAAATTCAATGCAGTTTGAATGATGCACCGAGCCTGGTGCATGCAATACGAATGAATGATGCACGCATGCAAAGCATAAGTATGCTCATTAAAACATGCCCTAAAACTAACAATCAAAAGCTAGTAAATAAAAGGGAGAAAGACGTGGGGTTGGAAGACATTCACACACACACACACACACAAGCACACACTTATTATTACAATACACCCTCTCGACGGAGGGTTCAAATGAATAAACTAAGCTAGCTATGCTAAGCTAAGCTACATATTACAAAATCAACTAATTAACTAACTATTCTAGCTAATTAATTATTACAAACCAAATTGAATAACTAGCTAATCTAAGCTAATTAGAATATTACAACACACTAAGCTAAATTAATTACAGCACAGGTAATTAACTACAACTAGCTAACAAAAGCGATAAATGGCCTCACGGGCGAGACAAATATGCATGCTCGGTTGCGTCCTCCCAGAAATCCACCGCCTTGCCTCAAGACGCCTCTGTTTGCACTTTTTTGAACCTTTGAAAATTACACCGATTTTCATATTGCTTCTTTATGATCTCAAGAACACCTTGAGGACTGAAATTCCTCCTGTTGCTACAACAGAGCACAGACAAAGGCAAGACAGTGTATTTGCAAGGAAATGTATGCATTTCCATACTCCTTATCATATCTCAAGCTCAAAGGAGTATGGCACTTGACTCTTGAGCCACCAACCAAACATTTTCAATGCATGGTGGCCAAAGGATCAAGTTTGTGCAAAACTCAATGAATGCACACATAAGACTCGGAAAGCCTCCACCCTATCATGCACAATCAAGGGCGTCGGCGACCGAGAAATATGACACGTTTCATCACTATGAGTATGAAACGTCCCATATTTCTCGTATTTGGATTAACGTCCGATCCAAACACACGCAATGCAACTCAAACATGTTATCTTGGCATCTTTTACTTTAATTCGTTTGTTTACACATTTTAGATTACCAATTAGTCCCTTAACCGGTTAAGTCCAAAAGTGAGAGTCCTCTAATTTTGAAAGAGTGAATTAGTGGGATGTAATGGCACATACTCCAGCACTGAAATGGCATAACAAATGATGCTAAAACATTCTAACAACTCATGTAATGCATGCTAAGAGCCAAGAACATTAAAGCTAGCAAAGAGTATAAAACAAGAGGCATGCAATATCAAGCTTAAATGACCAAACCAGCCCAAAACAGAGCTATAACATGGCAAATCAGTAGCAAAAACATAAGGCTCAAAAGAGTAGAAAATCATGCTCCTTTGGTAGCTCACAAATAAGGCACAAAAGCACAACTCTCAAAAGCTCTCAAGGAGTGAAAGAAGTGAGAACATGACACATGTATATGCTCTGAAATAACATGTTAAATGATGCCAAGACATGCAACCATCACAAGTATAGCATGCTATGGTGCTCAAAACTCAAGACTAGCTAAGGCACTTGCACCATAGCCATATCAAGCAAGCCCCAAAGGACCAAGATGACTCAAAATAGTCCTAAGGTAGGTCAAAAAAA